AGAGCGCAAGGGTCGACGCGCGAGGGGAGAATGGCTCGTAGACAACAACAACTAAACATTTTGGAGGCAAACGACGAAGCAGAGGGTTCCTCTTATGGTGCTGGAATAGATGACACGATGTAAGTTAAAAAAAAAAATTTCTAATTTAGTGTAAATCATTCCCGAAACTTTAAACGCGTTTATCTCAAAACCGTGTTTTCATAGTCGGTGAGGAAAATTTCTCCGAAACCGCTAAACCGATCGGTTTGAAATTTTCACACGACTTACTCAGATATATTTTTCAGATATCTTGCTCACCGCCAAGCACTTTTTTTTGGAGGTCTCTCCGCAGATCATCTACAGGAGCTAGGGGATCCAATATTTTTTTAAATAAACCGCTGATTGTTAAAGTATATTAAATTCTGTTTAAGTACATTTTTTCCATTAATGTATAAAACAAAATGCCTCTTTGGAAAAAATTCACAAAAAAACGCGTCTTTTCTGCCTCGCAAGTGGATATAACCCCTTAAGACTTATATATTATTATCAAGATTATTCCTCTTAAACTCATTACCAACTGAGTACGAAACAATCTGTGGTGCCATGAAATCCAGAAAAGAGTTTCCAACATTGGAGGAATTAAAAATAAAATTGATAGAGGAACAAATGAGAATAAAAGATAAATTTACAGAAAATAAATTTGAGACAGATAATGCATTAATAATAACCAAAAGAGATGAAACACAGTCGCGAGGAAGAGAAAATCCATCCGAAAAAAATAAATGCAAAAATAAACATAGAAAATTTTATATATGCGGAAAAATTGGACATTTCGCAAAATACTGTAAACAGGTGGATAAAGATAAAATAAAAAAAAACAATCGCAATGACGCCATGATAACGATTGCATTAAACACAGTGACACATGGACCAAGGTAGTTGGTGTCTGGACAGTGGTGCAACCAGACATACGAACAATGAAAAAAATTAATCCAAAATCGTAAATGAAGATGGGTGTTTTCAAATTTCTTAGCTCCCAGGGGCTCAAAAGCTTCCCAGGGGCTCAAAAACTTCCAAATCTATAAAAAAAAATTCTCTGAAAATTTGAGCTCATAATATCAACTCTAAGATAGTCCGCATTCCAACCTAAGTTTCTTATGGAAATAATATGAGAGAAATTTCCTTCGTTATTTAGAATTTTATTATTCAGGAATAAATGGATCTATCATGATGATTCATACATATTTTCATGGAGAATTTAACGCTCTACAAAAAAAGTCTGTTATAATTTTTCGCTAATCTATTAGTTTACAAGTTATTTGAGCTTAGAATTAAATTTTTATGTAACTATTAATATCATTAAGTATGATTATTAAGTAAATAATTATATATTAAAAATATATTAAATATTTCTTGTAAAATTTTTATTTATGATCAAAATAAGCAAATGCCATGTTTATAATTTTCGTGGCATTATTGACTGAGTCACTAACGCCATCTATAATAGTATTTGTGTACTTAAATATTTCGACCATTAAAAATATTTCTAAATCACTTAACCTCTAATTAAAATAACCAACCTGTGTGAGCTGTCAAAGAAAATATTCATTCATCATGACATCAAGAATAATTTTACGTCAAAATATTTATTTGATTGGTGATGTGGACACTCAAATTATCGGTAATAAATTGCCATCAAAATTACAAGTGCTAAAAGTTTTTTTTTATCATATACGTATTCTAAAATTAAAATTACGTGAAAGTGCTGAAATCTGTGCAGAAGAAGTTAAAGTATTTGGGCACAAAGCTCAGATACCAACTAAAAGAAAAGATCATTGCATAGATCAGTTATTAAAATTATATGAACAATATCAGCTTCTCCAAAAAAGTATGAACAGAGACTCAAATAAAATTAAAGAGGACGAATTTAAATCTTCATTGTTAAATTTATTCGACATTGCCCATGCGAATGTGGCACAAATGGTCAATGAAAATATAATGCATTTTTTGACTCAACAACGGAAAGACGGTAGAGTGGGCTATATCGCTAACATTGAGTCTGATGATAATGAACAAACCCAAAAAATGAAGGATAAACTACTACAGCTACGTCGTGAAAAATCGGAGAGAAAAAAAGCTCAATATGGTAAAATTAAATTTAAAATAATTTATAAAGTTGAATGTATTTATTAAAAATGATTGTATCTTAATTTCAATCACAAATTTTTATATTTATAACTTTTATGTTTATTAAATAGATGAATTTGTGGAATTTGCATCGAGCAGCGAAGTGCAAGGAGTAAATCCAGTAAGTCAAAAAACATAATGGTCTGCTTCAAATTTTTCCGATGAACTGGCAACTACTCAGCATCAAGAATAAACACAATCTCGTGGCACAATAAATATCGTAAATGATAAATTAGTAGCGGTCTAAATTCTAAGTAACGAGGGAAATTTCTCTCATATTATTTCCATAAGAAACATAGGTTGGAATGCGGACTATCTAAGAGTTGATATTAAGAGCTCAAATTTTCAGAGAATTTTTTTTTTATAGATTTGGAAGATTTTGTGCCCCTGGGAGCCAAGAAATTTAAAAACACCCCTGTTAAACACAACCCTTATGTGTATTCTAGATTTTAATCCTGACAAATTATCTTTCAAAATAACCCCTTTAACCCTTATGAATAAACAGAAAGAGCATATCATTCATCTCTCTTCATCTCTCTCTCTCTCTCTTTACATTTTTAAACCCGTGTTGCGCATATTTGATCCATAGGGCGTGTTCGGCGATTTTAAGGTATAGGAATTGATTCGAGTGATGCGAGATGCATAATAGAGCGCCTTAAAGTGTGTGGAGTGAGGTATAGGATGCGTTAGGCCTTGTGTACGCGTTTCACTTACATTCTGGCTAGATCAAAAAGTGTTTCGTTTTCCCTAATAAGAGGGTTACACCATATTGGCATTTTTCTAGT